AATTCTTGTTAGCCAGCAATACTGTAATGATGATCAACTATAAAAGACTTAACTATTCTGATCAAGACAATAAGCCAAGACAGTTACACAGGATCTCTGATGAAAAGTGCTATCCACCTCCAGAGAGAGAACTGATGAACTCAGAATGCAGATTGAAGCATACTTTTTACTTTTTTTTTTCTTGTTTTATTTTTTGTTTATGTTTTCTTTTGCAACATGGTTAACATGAAAATATGTTTTGCAGGACTTCATATGGACAATTGATATAAAATTACTTGCCTTCTCAAGAAGGGTGGAAGGGCAAGAGGGAGGGAGAGAATTTGGAATTCAAAATTAAAAATATGAATGTTAAAAAATTATATATAATTGGGAAATACTTAACAAAATAAATAAAAATATTAAAAAAAATGCTACCAACCAACCTAATGTAGTATACACTGTTAGATAGGTTCCTGTGAAAGTTGGCTTTGCTCATATATTTTTCTTTATAATAAGAAAGGATTCAATGAGGGTGGGATAGATGGAGAAGGGGAAATGACTATAAACACAAAAGACAACAATAAGACTTAAAATGGATGAATAAAAAATATGAGCTACCACCAGTATCACTACAATGAGATGTATCATTGTTGTTGTTCAGTTGTTCATGACTCTTCCTGATCCCATCTGCAGTTTTCTTAGCAAAGATAGTGGAATGGTTTGTCATAATGAGGCAAACAGGATTAAGTAACCTGCTCAAGGTCACACAGCTAGTAAGTGTTTGAGGCCAGATTTGAACTCAGGAAGAAGAATCTTCTTACCCCAGGGCCGGCACTCTATCCATTGCACCACTTAGCTGCCTTTCCATGTGGATCTGGACCAAATAAACCATAGAAATCAAACTATATTTTTTACAAGGAGCACATAACATCATTTGAAAAGGGTTCAGAAAAATGTATAAAATAATGTATAATGATATTAATTTTTGTTGAACTGATGAACAGAGACATTGAAAAGACTTCAGCTTTCTGGAATAAGCCTGACTAATTTTATAAATCAAAAACCTCTTGTTTCCTGTTTTTTTAAGTAAAACAATCTTTTCTTTGTTAAGTCAGAATAAGAAAAAAAATACTTTATGAAAAATTAATACATGAAAAAGCATTTATTAAGTGCTTACTATGTGCTAAACACCGAGCTAAGTGCTAGGGATATGAAAACAAAAGTCAAGACAGTCTTTACCTTCAAGAAGCACACTCTAATGAGGGGAGACAATACACGTGCGGGAGTTCTGGCCAGGGAGGGAGTATTTGGTTTGCAAAGTTACTGGGATTGTGAGTAGTCTATACTAAGCAGTCTAACACACCATTTCTAGTAGTAGTGGTTCCAGTGCTGAAAAAGGGAATTGGGGAAGTGGGGAGAGGAGGGAAGAAGGAAGAGGAAACACAGTAGGAACATACTACCTACACCCCGAGTCAGAGAAGAGATGAAAAGAATTCACTTGCTCTAACTCAGCTGAGAGCTGGGAATCTTCCATTGAGCAGGACAAGGAAAAAGAGTCATACAATTCTGTCTGACCCTTTGTTCTCCAGTTAGGTCTCTCTATGAGGCAGGTTAAAGACAAAGGTGAAAATCTGTTCACTATTCCCAAGACATACATATTTTGCTTTTATCTATTGCCTTGTTGTTCATCCCAACAGGGAATAAGACTAAGTTGGGAGAAAGCCCTTCCTGGATCAGATTGAATAGTCAATATAGAAAACTGTTACCTCTAAGACTATATATTTTGATAACCACATTTCAATATAATTGTTTTCCTTTGTAATTCCATGTATTTTATTTTATGCATTTTATTTGTTTTTTGTTTTTGGTGAGGCAATTGGGGTTAAGTGACTTGCCCAGAGTCACACAGCTAGATGATCTTCTAGGCTAAGAAGCTGGAAGCTATTCGTCTCCCAGCAAGGTGGTGTGGTAGGGAATAACGAACAAGCAATTTGGGAGGCAGAGAGAATGGCAGTACTCAGGACAGTTTAAATAGCAGTGGAAGAGAAGGGAGCTTCCAAAAATGATGGCTGCAGAAGTGAGGTCAACAGCAGCAGCACAGGGGACGCGGGGACACAGAACTGTGAGAAGTCAGGCAGAGGAGGTTTTCCTAGTCATGACGCAGAGCACATAGCACTGAAGCCCCTTCCTACCTCAGAACACGAGCTTTCTGAGGAGTTTCCCTTCCCCATCAGTTTGTAAGTATGTGAGAAACTACTCATTTATAAAAAGGGACAAGGAGTGAGCCTACAGCAGGATTTCCCCCCGTTATTTGCTTTGCCATTCTGTTCTAATGAAATGATTTGCTATTCAATTTATGGTTCTTGCCTGGTCTACTACTCACTAGCTGAATAAGTACTACAGAAGGTGCTTAAGCCATTATTTGTCCCCTTAACACTGAACCTGAGAAATCTGATTTCAGAGTTAAATATGATATCCATTATGCATGCATTTGTTCTCCAAAAGAGGGAGTATTTTTCTATTGCAAGACAAAGCTCTAATGTCCTCTCAAAGGTTATGAAAAAAGGTTATGAAAAAAATTAAGTGGAACAAATAAAAAATATGCAATTCAAAAATAAAGTACAATAAACCACATAACACAGGAATGAAATGTAAGAATGAAATCCACTATAGCCAAGTATAATACATAGGAGAAGCTCTTCTCTTCCTAGGTAACCTGATCTTTACCACTGAATAAAACAGTGAATTACACCTTAATAAGAAACAGAGGCCATTAAATAAACAGCAGAATGTTCTCCAGGTATTATAGAGGCTGTTGCTGTAATAAATCTCTATGGAGATCACTTGTTTTCAATGAACAGTTTTTAAACTAATTTTAATGATTAGCTATATAAAATTAAACACCAAGAACTCTTTCATTAACTAAGCCTTAAGGTTATTTTCAATTACATTAGGCTATTTACCCTAGGGCATTTCCTTGGAAAAAGTTCAATACAGTATTGTTTATTGTGTCATTTGGAGATAAATCACTTTCCAAATTGTTCTTACAAGTACAATTTTGGAGAACTTTTACTATGAAACACCCAGACAAAAGAGAAAAAGCAAATTAAGTACATGTGATCTTTGTTTGAGCATGTGCTAAAACAAAAGACTAAATTCTCAGTTTATTCCCTGATGAATGCATTCTATTTTATTTAGGTCACATATCCATAGAACATATTCTATTGCATTCAACAAATATTAATTTGTGGTACTTTAAAGAAAATACTGATCTCAATTTCCTCTCCCCTCCCCATTCCAACATATATCAAAAAGAAACATGAATTGGGCCAGGATAAAAATATGCTCAGCATTCCAGTGTTCTATATTAGTGTATATTTCATATACCTAAAATGACATCATTTCCTCAAATTATTGTAATATTTACCATTTACATTACAAGTAGTCGCTAATCAGAAAAGGTTTGTTTGGCCAGAGGGGCAACACATTAGGGTCTTTTCTATCTAGCTATGATTAAATATTAGAGTTTGCAGCATAAAGGCAAATAAAACTAAATTTTCAGTGTGATTTTTAGTAGGATATAGATGAGAAAACAACTACGCTATGCAATACCTGAAGTCATTCCACTAAGGGAGGGGTCAGCAAACTATATCCCATGGGGCAAATCCATCCCACTGTCTGGTTTTAAACAACCCACAAGCTAAGAACGGTTTTTACAACATTTAAAATGGTACTGTTTTTCTATGGTTCAATGAACTAAGAATGGATTTTATAGTCATTCTTAGTCCACTGGGCCATTGCAGTCACATAGGTCTGGGTGGGGGGAGGGATAGTTTGCTGAACTAAGGACTTGATCCTCACTGATAAAATGGACAGAAATTATACTCTGGTTTTCTTGCTCAGTACCCAGACATGAAGATCCATGATGGCCTACCATATAGCATAGGGGAGCAGCTAGGAGCCAAGTCCTTTTATTACTAGGATGTAAATGGAAATCACTAAACTTAGAACAAATGTTTTTCATATAATCACAATGATCTGACCACTGAGACAATGCCTCCCTACTGGTGTCACAGAAATACAGCTCTCGTAGTTAGTTACAGCTCTCAAAAACAGGCCAGTAAGGGGCAACACTCCCAAGCTTCAGTTGTATAAATTATAGCAGTAAAACAATAAAAGCATATGCAAGGATGATGTGAGCTATTTATATTTGTGTATTTTGCTAAGCAATTTTACCACGGAGGATTTTAAAGCACTTTATAGACATCATGCTGGATCATTTTCAGAAATACATTACCCATCCAGGCCGTCGGTAAACCAAATGTTAAATTACTCCAGGGCACTAAATGGCAGAGCAATAGAACTAGCAATTCTGGCAGTCACCCTGCCCCCACCCCACATGCCCCCAAAAAACTCGCCAACGGCAAGAAGCAAGAAAAACCCCCTGAAATGAACCTTTAAAAATGAATTCAGTTGATTTGCATCAATTCATGTAAGTCCAGGTTTTTCTGAGAGTATCTAGCTCATCATTTCTTACAGCACAATAGCATGCTATCACAATGATACACCACAAATTGTTCAGTCATTCCCCTCCTGATTGGCATCTCCTTAAGTTACAATTCCTTGCCACCAGAAAAGAGCTGCTAATTCCACCAACAGTACGTTAGTGTCCCAATTTTCCCACATCCCCTCCAACATTTGTCATTTTTCTTTTCTTGCACCTGTGATTTTATTGCACCTGTGAAATGAGCTCTGGGGTGAGGAAACTTTACCAATGCCTCAGGACAACTATGCTACAACTTAAAATGTTAGAGAGTTGCCTGGGACACTGAGAGGCTAAATGAGTTTCCTAGGGTAACAGAGCAAATACATGTCAGAGTTAAGACTTGAACTCAGGTCATTCTGACTCTGAGGTGGCTCTCATTCCACTAAGCCGTGCTGCCTCCCATAAATGTTTGTTGAAGTTAACACAAACACACACAACTTTCTCATTGCTTCTTCAAAATTTTAAGGTACTTTACCTGGGATCAATCTGTATGGATTTCTTGTTTAGCTGCTCATATCCAAACTGGTTTAACACAGTGACTATAACCATAGGAGCTAAAGACTGGGCAGGTTTGGTAAACAAAGCATTGGTCCCAAAAACCATCGAGGAAAGGGGTGATCTGTAATGAATAAAATCAGAACAAATCCATTTCACACTCAACCAATGCTGACATCTATTCACTCATGTATGGAACCTGAAATGGAAGCACTGTTTAAAAACAGATGAATGAAATCAGAAAAGCCAACCAAAAGGATGAATATTTACATACTCCCCCACCCTGTGGTATTTAAATGAACTGATTTTTAAATAGATGTTTATATATTAATGATAAAAACAAGTTTGGGTAAGTCTGATACCAAAGGTACTGATAAATCTGATGGGTCAATGCAAAGTGTTACCAAATGGTCTTTCAGTTCGATCTTAACATCTTTATGCCTCATGGGCCTGAAGCTATGGTGACATAGCCCAGCTTCTGCTGAGTATGACCTAGGAGAGAATCCTGTTACCTGGTCATCACATTATTTTTAATCAATTAAAGAACATCTTGTGGAATAAAGACAATTAACACACTGAAATTGTTATAGGGTTTGAACTATTTATGAAACAATAGTAACCGACTAAGCAGTAACATTGCCCGAAGTTGAACCATCACAGAGATCTGTTAACAATGCCCAGAGCTATAACCCTTGTGGACCAGTCACAAACAGCTCAGTGTATTTAGAAATTTGGGAGCCAGAGGTAAGTGAAAGACATGTGTTCCTATTGAGTATCTTTGCCAATAAACAGCCTTGATCAATTGAGCGGGAAGCGTGGCTTCTTTCCTTGGCAAAAGAGCTCAGATGAAAATGTATCGAATCTGTGTCTCAAACTCACCTATTCCTCTCCAAACTAAAACAACACAACCCACTGGAAATGTAAGGGAATCAGCTGGAACTTTAAAGCAAGTCTGAATGGTGAATGACCTCTTTGCAGTAGGCCAAAAATTTTTTTTCTCATTAATTTTTAAAATGTCTGGTAGGCAATTAAACAGCAACAAACATGGACTTTGAATTTTGTTCTTGAGGTGTCATGGAGCAAAAGTTCAATCTCTTCTTTTACAGGAAGAGTGAATTTGAGCTTTGTGTCAGACATGTACTAGTCGGTAAATGATTTCAAAAGTTTCTGAGAAGTAAATCTTTTTATCTTCTGGGAAGGGCATTTTTATTTAAAAAAATTTTTTCATTGGTACATTTTGTTTTGATGAAACAAATGCTTATCAACAAAGTACTTTCCCCCCAAACAGCTAAGGAAAACCACCTAACTGTGTGACTGGCACTGATGACACCTGTCTCTTGAGAGAAGCATATTGTCTAGAGCATGGACTTGGGAGTCAGAAAGGCCTGAGTGAAATCCTGGCTCAGATATTTACTAGCTGTGTGATCCTTAAGCAAGTCACAATCTCTCTGAACCCTGGTCTCCTCATCTATAAAATAGGGCTAATAACAGCACATGAGATTATATGTAAAAAATTTGGTAAACCCTAAATTGACATATAGCTCTCAGCTGCTGCTATTTTCCCCTTTTGTTCTTTACTGATTGTCAACAGAAAGGTAAAATCTGTTCTTTAATTGTTAGTATGGTACAACACTGATGGTTGCCGCTGACTTCTGTTGTCTGTCAGGGCTGAAAGCAAATCTTTCTTCGTATTGGCTGTAATTTGATCCCCTGCCCTCCCCAAAATTATAAAATCACTTCAGGAAAGGGGAGAAAACTACCAATGCCAACATTTGTTTCTTATCCTGGTCCTACGAGCTCTCTCAAAGTGACACAACTTTTAAAAGTAATAGAAACTTTTTTTTAAATGGCCACTAGGGGCAGTTAGATGGCACAGTGGATAGAGCACCAGCCTTTAAGTCAGGAGGACCTCAGTTTAAATCCAGCCTCAGATCAAACACTTGATACTTACTAGCTGTGTGACCCTGGGCAAGTCACTTAACCCCAATTGCCTAAAAATTAAAAAAAATTAAAATAAAAAAATGGCCACTTGATGGCCTTCTTCAAGGACACTATGTGTCTACAAATAAACTATTCATTTCTGCCATGAGCCCTAGCATCTTCACCTATCAATTGAGGAGGCTGGATTAGATGGCCTCTGAGTTCCCTTCCAGTTCTAATATAACTGAAATGCAGCGAATTTTACAGTCCAGGTCTACACATGTTGACTTTTACAGTCATTATTATAAAGGAACTTACTTCCGTTTGAATTTCAGTACATCTGCATCAATGATGTCAGCCAGAGGCAAATTGAATAAACTAAACGAGGCTTGAACTATCACCCTAGAAAAAGAAAATAAACACATGAAAATGGTTATCAAAATCAAAAGCCAATATTTGGTTTAAAAAAGAGAAAAAGAAAATATAGAGGACATACACCAGGAAGAATTGGCTAATTTTTTTCCCTTTCATGAAGAGAAGATTCCAGGGCCAATTTGCAAGAAGGAAACAATTCTTGAGTAAGGGAGATCACTCAGACCACAAAGATTCAGACACAGATGTGTGCATCAGAAGTTACTAGCTCAGACAGACACAGGCTCTACACAGACTGGAGAGGTCTGCACCGACATTTATGCAGCCCCTGGAGCTAGTGTTAGATGGAGACTTTATTTTTTTAAAAAGTTTTATTAATGTTTTGTTTTTGCATTACAAGCATTTATAGATCACCCTCACTCCATGAGAAGTATCTTATAACAAAGTAAAACAATTAAGTAAAACTAACTTCACCTCATATGAAAGTACTGGCAACATTCCACATTTATAGTACCACTCTCATCTCTATTTAAAAAAGAAAGAATTAACAGAAACCCATTTTCTCTCCTATAGGCAGCTAGGTGGTACAGTAGTTAGAGTGGTAGACCTGAAGTCAGAATCTGGCCTTGGACACTTACTGTGTGACCCTGGGCAAGTCACTTAACCCTGTTTGCCTCAGTTCTTCATCTGTAAAATGAACTGGAGAAGAAAATGGCAAACCACTCCATCTGTGCCAAGAAAACACCAAATGGGGTCATGAAGAATTGGGCACAACTAAAACAACTCAACAACAACAACAACTTTCCCTCTCACCTCTCACTCTACTGAAAAAAAGAGAAAACAAAAACAAATTCCTTGTAACAAATATGCAATCAAACAAAACAAATTCTTTCCTTGGATGTATACAAAAATAGGTGTCTTATTCTACCTCACTCTAAATCTGTCACCTTGGGGCAGCTAGATGGTGCAGTGGATAGAGCCCTGGATTCAGGAAGACCCAAGTTCAAATCTGGCCTCAGACACTTGACACTCACTAGCTGTGTGACCCTGGGTAAGTCACTTCACCCGACTGCCTCACCAAAAAAAATAAATAAATAAAATCTGTCACTTCTCTGTCAGGAGGTAGAAAATATGTTCCATCATCAGTCCTTTGGAATTATGGATGGTCCTTGTATGGATCATGGTTCTTATAGCTTTCAAAGTTGCTTGTCTTTACAGTGTTGTTGTAATATAAAGATTCTTCTCCTGGTTCTGCTCTTTTCATTCTTAATCTGTTTATAAAATTTGTCAAAATTGATTTTTTTATAATACTGATGTTATTATATAATTTGTTTCCTGGTTCTGTTTATTTTACTTGGTATCAGTCCTTTAATGTTTCTATTAAATTCTCTATTTCTCACAGCATGATAGGGACTCCATCACATTCATAAACCTTAACTTATTTAGCTATTCCTCAATTAATGGGCATCCCCTTAAGTTTCTAGTTTTTTACTATTATAAAAAGAGCTGATATATATGTGTGTATACATAAAATGTATATATGTACACATGTGTATATCTACATGAATACATTAACCCCATATATATACACATACATATATATATATATACACGCATACATATATATATATATATATATATATACACATATATATATTTTTTTACATGTAAGACCTTTTCCTATTTCTTTGATCTTTGAAGGAAATAGACCTAACAGTGGTATAATGGATCAAAGGACATGTACTGGTTAGTAACTTTTTATGGATAATGCAAACTGCTTTTCAAATTGGCTGTACTCATCCACAGGTCCACCAACAGTACATCAATGTGCCTGTTTCCTCAAAGCCCTCCAACATTTATAATTTTTCTTTTTTGTCATCTTTGTCACTCTGATGGTATGAGGTAGAATCTCAAAATTGCTTTAATTTGCATTTTTCTAATTAGTAGTAATTTAGAGTATTTTTTCATATGGTTATTGATAGCCTGAGTTTCTTCCCTTGAGAACTGTTATATTCTTAGACTGTTTATCAACTGGGAAATGGCTCTTATTCTTATAAGTCTGAATGAGTTCCTTATGTCTTGGAAATGAGACCTTTATCAGAAAAAAAAATCGAAATCAATAGCAGAATAAGCAAGTATTGAAAAAGAAAAAAGGTAACTGGCAGGAAACTATAGGACCAAGGATCATAGGAAAAGATAGAACTAAAGATCAGTCAAACAAAGAACTGACTGGGAGAAAGGAACCCAGACCTTACTTTTTCCTGGTTCTGTGAGTCATGGGAATGGTGTACATTTGGGCAGGAAAGGGTGATGAGCAAACCAGAGCCATACAGGATATCAGTAAGAAGGACTATATGAATGCCTTTGAGAGTAGGGTAAGATATTTTCTTGACTGTTTATATGCTCAGTTAATCTTTCCATTTTTTTTTGTGGTGTAAATAAAATCTTTTCTATATTTAATATCTTAAGTTTTAAGAAGTTGAGGAAGCAAAATGAAACAGATACTGATGTTCTCTGGGTTTCCTGACATGGTAGTACAAGCTAGAGAAGTTCTGGGAGGTATCCACAAAATTGCACCTAGGTGCTTCCGGCCACAAAGAATGCTCCAACACCAGTTACAGAAATAAAAGTACACACATTCCCCAAATGAATATACAATAAGCAGCATCTTCAACAGAAAACACTGTAGCCCTAAGGAAATAACTTCTTTAAGAAAATTTTTGTTTTTCAGTCAATCAGTTGTGTCCAACGCTTTGTGAATCCATGGACCGTTAGGGAACGTGTGTCCATGGGGTTTTCTTAGCAAAGATACTGCAGTGGTTTGCCATTTCCTTCTCCAATGGATTCAGGCAAACAGAGGTTAAGTGACTTGCCCAGGGTCACATGGCTAGTAAGTGTCTGAGGCTGGTTTTGAACTCAAGTCTTCCTGACTTCAGACCCAGAACTCTAACACTGAGCCATTCAGCTGCCCTCTAAGAAAATACTGAACACTTAATTTCCTTTTGAATTGAAAAAAAAATACCCTACATTTTTCTCTTGAGAATATGAAAAAATTTCTAAAAAATACTAAATAATTATTTTCCTTTTGGATGGAAAGGAAAACCCAACTACTTTTTTCTTTTGCTAAAATCCCCAAGATCCATTACCAGCTCATTAAATATGGCTCACATTGCTGGTATAAGCTCTAATTAACAGAATATGCCCATAGAAACACATCTGAAACTTTTCTCTTGGTATGAAGAACAAGACATGTAAGGTACTAATAGGGGAAAATAAAATCAACTATGATTAAGGAATAGAAAAAAAGAAAAAAGCCTAAGTGAAAGTAAAATAAATTTCTAACAGAACTTCCAATAATTATCCATTATAAATATATTGCTTTAACTCTAAAAATCTGAAGAAATGATTTTTAATGAAAAGAATCCCTAATTTTATAGATGAAATAAGTAGACAAAGATATGAAACGATTTGAGAGGAATGCAGCCCAAACCTCATCATCAGAGATCAATTTGAGTTACCCATTATGCTTTCTAAGTGTTCTCTTTAAAACTCACACTTCAGCACAAATTAATTTGAAAGAGCATCGGTGGCAAAATGAACCTAAAGCAACAGCATAAAAATTCTAGGAAAAAACAGAGGAAGGGTGAGGGATTAGTTTACTTCAATATTATGTTTGGACCCTGCCTCAAGCATTTAGCAATGAAAAGCCAAGAAGAGCTATACAATCCAATATGTCCTATTTGCCCAAATCAGCCTCTTGCTATTCTCAAACTAATCTCTTCTGTAAATAAATATAGAAAGACTTCAGTCAGAGGACTCTTTTTTTTTACCTTAGAAAGGGTGAACAAAAAGAATTAATGCAAGCTTCAAAATTTTTCCTTTCTTAACTAGCAAATATTTATGGATTTAGGATCAGTAACATTGTACTTACATGTTAGCTATGAGATAAAAAGCCAAAATGTAATAGTGCTCCTGTCCCAGCACAAACATCACAGCTGCAGCTACTCCTTCTATATAGAAGGAAAATAAAATGATCTTATAGTAACCAAACTTCTTGAGCCAGGAGTGGCTGAGGAGCACAAGAAACTGAAACAGAAGGAGAATGACACTGGGTTAGGAAGGGTCAGACTTTCTCATAATTCTCATTTAATTGTTATTAAGTATTAGTAAAATTAATTTATATATCAAATGGATAGTTTCAATAAATTAAATAACTGATATTAATTATTAATTGAATTATTGCCCACAGGTAATAATTCTTGTTTACATAGTGCCTTACAACTTTGACAATATTTTTTCCAGGTGAGAATTTTCAGCCCAATAAGATGGCTATATCTCAATACATCTATTAGCACACAAGCTGAAAGAGCTGCTATTGAAGGCTGTTATAATAAAACTGCCATTTATGTAGCTGGTCTGTAGGCATATGTCATTTCTCCCATTTGATCTTTACAACAGCCCAAATGTGAAATAGGAGGTGAAAGTATGACTTCCCTTATTTTTTTTACAGATGAAGAAACTGAGGCTAAGAGGTTAAGTGATTTGCCCAAAGTCATAAAAGTGGCAGAGCCAGTACTAAAAAGGTTTTCTAAAAACACATTCAGACTCTGCCCCATGAGGGTTGCTTTGCTATGTATTGCCAGCTTCAAAAAATCCATCAAAGAATGAATATATCCAGCAACTAATGAAATGATTTATTGTTTTATTCCTATGAAAAACTGCAAATGGTCTCTCACAATTTTACTTATATGTAAACATGAAAATTCCTATATGATGTGATCAACCATGTAAAAGAACCCACCACTTAAAAAAAGGAAGAGGTAGTGGTATAATATTCGTGGTGTGATTGATGTAAATCTAAAATCATAATGCATACATGAAAAGTGAAGGTTATATTTCATGGTCCATCTCTGATAACCTCACGAGTTTTCAGAGTATGTCACTTAATTCAATAAACTCTAAGTACCCACCATGTACAAGCACTTTGTAAGTTAGAGAAATATACTTCCTAAATTCAAAGAAAACAAATGGGATGTATTACTTCACGATTCCAATTTAACCTTTCTTCATGATGCTTCCTACCATAGCCTCTCAGTTTTTCTTTTTATAAAGGCTCAATTGGGCTGACAGCCTTGAACTTGCTACTGTACCTACTTCTATCAATAAAATGTTAATTATTCTACATCAAACTTTTTTTGCTTTATTTCTAAGTCTAACTTATTGCCTTTTAAGGAATAATAGCTCTTTTTTGGGAATACCTGAAACAGCAACTTACTGATCTATGTAATTCTAGGTATTTCTTGGAGTTTTACTGTAATACAAAGTTTCATGACTCCATTATATTTATCCTAAAGCTAATTTTATAGGAAGGTAGAAGTTCACGCTTTCAAACGAGGTTGCTTTACATCCACCTATTAGACATACAATGTGGGGGGACTTCATAATTTAAAATTAAGTTTAAAAAACAAATACCAAAAGAAATCTTTTCAGATTGCAATTTAGAATGTTACAAAAACTGTGCAAAAATTATTCTTCCTTGCCTGTAACACTGTTCATCTTGCATAAATTGAGGATTGGGGCTTTTAATTTTTATATTTATTGAACAGGCATTTGAGAGCATTCTGCTTCCATCACAGATCTGGCAACATGTCACAGATGACTAAATGAAGTCAAGGGGTAGGAAGGACAGTGCTGTGCTTACAGAAATTACTTAGTGGATGTTTGCTGAATTTAATTGGTTGGGCAGATGGAAGGGCAGTGGATATATAAAATTACTATTGTTTTTTTCTTCTATCCTTTTACTCATTCACCTCACGAGTACTACTTGCCACTAGTGAGAAGTCAGCTTGAAAAAATTAAAATCCACAAGCCTAGTATACAATGCATCTGTCTTTATTATACCCTAGTCATTGTTAAAATACCTTAAACAAACAACTGAATAAAATCCAAGACTGTTATCCTCTACTCCAGTAACTGAAGAAAGCATTACTTCTATACACCCAATCTGAAAAATGAAAAGAAATTGTCTATACTTGAAAGTCCATTTAAAGCAAGTCAGTTCGATATTTTGATCCAGAGATTTGACAGCGCTAAAATAAGGCCTTCAGGGGCAGCTAGGTGGCGCAGTGGATACAGCAGTGGATACGGCCCTGTAGTCAGGAGGACCTGAGTTCAAATATGCCCTCAGACCAAACACTTGACACTAGCTGTGTGACCCTGGGCAAGTCACTTAACCCCAATTGCCTAAAAATAAATAAATAAATAAAAATAAAATAAGGCCTTCAGACTAAAACAGAACTTGAATTTAAGGGTCCATTTTTATTTTGAACTTGACACCAAATAAAATGGACATTTGTATATGAAAGGTAGAATAGAAAAAGATTATACATAAAACTATGAATCTCTATTATATATAGGTTCCTTTTAATAAGTATATAAAAACTTAAATATGTAACTTTCAAAACTGTCCAGTTTATATGGATATCCTTCTGGCCTTCCTATTGTCCTCTTCTATACATTTCTAAAAAATTCTTCAATAATTCTTTTTTTTTTTTAGCAACTCTACCAGCAGCTTTCCTCTTCCCTCCTACCATTGAAAAATAAGAAAGAAAAGAAAACCCTTGTGACATATGTAGATATATACACACATTTTATACACACACACACACACAGATACACATATATAAATAAGCACACAAATATGCATAAGCCAACAAATTCCCACAATGGCTAAGTCTGATAGTGAATTTCTCATTCTAGTGCCTTTAAAACTCAAGAAAAATCTGACCAAAAGATTTTGACATTCCTTTCCTCAATTTTTGTGTTTTAAGATGAGTTGTAAACATTTAATAAGTACAAGAAACAAAGGTACTTATGTATATTAAAGTTGTTACAGCTCTTTCAGAAACCAACTCTTTTAGCCCATATATATGTAATAGGGATAAATGGGGTGGTCTCATCTGATGTTGTTATAATATCTACATCAGTGACTCAGTATCTCACCTACGCCTGTGAGACACCTCACTGCTATCCAGGTTGGGCTCACTCCTCCAACCTGAGAAGACCAATAACATTGAAAGCTACAGTCTGCAGTTGTGAGCTACCCTAAGCACTTGAGTTTTCTTCCTTCATGTGTTGCTCTGCCAGTTTCCTTTAAGTGTGCTGCCACTCTTTGCCATAATTTATTGAGGGAATGGGGAAAAGAGTTGGATTTATCTATGTATTGTGACATATTTTATCATTTATGTATTTGTTTTAATATATGAGTACATATATTATTATTTATTGTGTCTTATCAAGTAAATAGTTATATTTAAGATCTAAAAAGTGTGATTATTTGGAATGGCTGATAGCGGAGCTAGAAAATATACTGGATGGGGGCTCAAGAGCTATGGTGGTGGATAGGGGAAGTCTATTTCCCCTCAATAGGTTATTCCTAGGACCATAAGAGAGTTTGAGTGCAACTCTGGGGCAGTGATGATCTCTCTCTGAGAATTTAGACCCACTAGGCATGAAAGGAGGTTGGAGGAGCTCCAAATAAGGGGACTGTCCCGTGAGTAAAGTATTTAAGTATATGTGTTAAATACACTCTTCATAACATTAAATAGTTCCCATACAAGTAAGGCATCACTCCACATAGTTAACAAAGTGATTCAAGGCCTCAAATCTATACTGCAAATCATTTTCTCTTCAAAACTGTCCAAATCCCTCACATGCACAAAAATATTTATAACAGCTCTTTTTGTGGTGTGAAAGAATTGGAAATTGAGGGGATGCCCGTCAGCTGGGAAATAGCTGACCAAGTTGTGGTATATGAATAGAATGGAATATTATTGTTCTATAAGAAATGATGAGTAGGCAGATTTCAGAAAAACCCGGGAAGACTTACGTGAACTGATGCTGAGTAAAGTGAGCAGAACCAGGAGAACAATGTACACACAGCAACAGCAACATAGTTCAAGGACCACCTTTGATAGACTTAGCTCTTCTCAGCAATACAATGATCTAAGACAATTTCAAAAGACCCATGATGGAAAATGCAATCCACATCCAGAGAAAGAACTATGGAGTCTGAATGCAGATTGAAGCACACTATTTTCTCTTTTCTTTGTTGTTGTCTTTAATTTCTCACGGTTTTTCCTTTTGTTCTGATTCTTCTTTCACAACATGACTAATGTGTAAATATGTTTAATATGATTGTACATGTATAGCCTATATCAGATTGCTTGTTGTCTTGGGGAGGGGACAGAGGAGGGGAAGATGGAAGGAGAAAAAAAATTCGAACTCAAAATCTTATAAAAGTGAATGTTGTAAACTATCTTCATACATAATTAGAAAAAATAAAATACTATTAAGGGGGGGGGGGAAACCTGTCCAAATGCCATCTGAAAGCTGTTTCTTTATACACATGTATGTTTTAGTAGTTCATGTTAAACAGAGTTCCTTTCCTAATTATATTAGCTATCAAAATGTTCATCCCACAAAAGCAACAATATCTCATTCTCTGACAATTAATGTACACTTATTTCTTTGTACAAAGACACTTTTCCTGCCCTTTTCATCATCAATTGCCTCTTATGAAAAGGGACAGTGTTTTACACATGCACTAAAGCTTTTGCACTTTACTGTTAGGACAATGTCTTATTTGAAGCCTATTTGCTCTTAGTTTATATACGATTCTGACAAGCTTGGTTATCTTCAAGCCCAGGGGACATTAAAAGCAGCAAGGAGTTGCTCTACTCAGGTGCCCTAAAAGGACTGAGAAGTGACCGCTAGCAGCTTAATGGCCAAGAAAGATGCTTTTAAAAAAGCTCATAAACTCAAAAAGCACAGCAATCTGGGTCCATTTGTGTGCAGGCAAACTGTACTCACACTTCAATAGACCACATTAGGAGTAACGTTCCTAACGATGACTTTGAGTCATTAAGAGAAGGTTAGATTATGTTAAGAGATACAGATAAGATTTTAAATTTGTAGGAAAAATTGAAGCGTCCTTGGAGATAATCTAGGCCAGTCCTTTCATTTTACAGATGAGAGAATTGAAACATAAAGGAGTTAAATGATACTCAGTTTAATAAAGTGGGGAAGTCCATTATATGCCTTAGAAACATCTGTATCCATGGGGCAGCTAGGTGGCGCAGTGGATAGAGCACCGGCCTGGGAGTCTGGAGGACCTGAGTTCAAATACGGCCTCAGACACATAATATTTCCTAGCTGTGTGACTCTGGGCAAGTCACTTAACTCCAATTGCCTCACTAATTAAAAAAAAAAAGAAAGAAAGAAATATTTGCATCCAGGGGCAGCTAGATGGTGCAGTGGATAGAGCACCAGCCCTGATTCAGGAGGACCTGAGTTCAAATGTGACCTCAGACCAAACACTTGACACTTACTAGCTGTGTGATCCTGGGCAAGTCACTTAACCCCAATTGCTTAAAAATAAAAATTTTAAAAAAAAGAAATATTTGCATCCAAAATTACTAAAATAAGGTTTTTCATATTGAAAGGGAATAAATTCTCAGCTACAGGAAAACCCTGAGAGTTCTTAATAGATGCAATTTTACTTGGTTTTATTATGGTAGAAAACCTTGTGATAACACTAAGGTTGAGAAACAGGAATAAAGTCATAGCAAACTTTTACTGTTAGGTTCTACAAGCACTAAGATTCAACTTATATAGACACTAAGGCTTTATTAGTGCAGATTTTTTTAGATTCTTTTAAAAAATTAATATGTACAGTTATAAACTAGTCATCTCTACAGTTATTTCAACAACCATTGGAAATATTCTGGGTTCTCCTTAGTCTGAAAATTGGACCAAGATCCCTTGGGCAAAAACCTCTTTTAACTAAGGATATACTTAGGACTCTTAAATGCCCAAAAGAAGCAATCAGGACCCACATTGAGGAAACTGCTTAGTTAACTTTCCATAGGTCTGCCAAAACTTCAGAGAAACTCTAGGGGAAATCTCCATGTAAACATTAAGTCAAGATTACTAGACCATCACATTCAAAAGCCTAGTGTTATTTTTAATTTTTCCCTCTCCTTTTCCTCTTTTATTCAATCAGTTACCAAGCCTTGCTGATTGTTCTTTTATAATACATTTTACATGTATTCCCTCTTGTCTATTCCCAATATTATCATGAGTATAGACATTTATTTAACCTGTGTGGACTAATGCAATAAGTTTTTAGGCCTTCTGGCCTCCACTCAGGCCCTCCTACCACTGTGAATAGTGTTTTATCACCCTTAAGAGAGTACAAAGGCCCATAAAGTTTTACCTAGATATTATCTCCATAGAGCCTAATATCTGGCAGGCACTTTGATGACTTTGAAATGAATCATTCAAGCAGTTTAAAATATCTGATCTTTAAAGTCTCTTACAGATTTAAATCTAAGATCCTATAATCCTGTCTTGTTTTGTTCTCATTGAGTTTTCCCAATCTTTTCCCATCCTCCCTTGCCTACCTCTTTTCCTCATTGTAATTTTCCTATTTTTTCTAATGTCTGTTCCAAATCTATGACTGTATATAATAAATTTATACAACATAACCTTTTCTCATGTTAACACAATTAGGTCTGGTAATTTCTTTAGTAATATGATGGCTAATAGCTTAAACATTAATGTATCAATAATTATGGCAAACCAAATGTACTCTTATAGTAACTGGAAAAGCAAGATTAAATCTGCTTAATTAACTAAAATCGTGTTCTACTTCAATAGTGTTAAGTCAATATTAAGCTGTTCCAGATACCTAGGACACGTAGTCCCTCTTCACCTCTGCCTTTTAGGGTCCTTAGCTTCCTTTTAGGCTCAACTCGGGTGCTATTTCCCACTAGAAATCTTTTCTTATTTCCCTAGTTCTAAGTGCTCTCCTTTTCTTCGAATAATCTTATATTTATTTATGTTTAAATCTTATTTACCTCTAGTGAAATGGAAGCCCCTTGAAACAAAGATAACTTCATAAAAGATCTTTCTGCCCCTGCTCTCTTCACTGACTCCCCAATGCATCCCATCCCCATCCCCAATTCATCCCTCACACTGGCCACAGACCAATCTTCCTTATACATAGAAGACCGGTCAGGTCACTGCTCTGCTCAAAAATTTTCAGTGACTCCTTAGGACCTACCCAGTGAAGTTTAGACTCCTTTGTCCTACAATAAAGTCCTTCAAAATCTGGTACCAGGATGCCTTTCTGGCCTTATCTCATATCACTCCCTTCGTCTCACTCAAAGCTTCAGCCAAGCTAGAGTGTCCCCAAACATGTCTATTAAGTTTCCTCCCTTCCTGCTTTAGCTCAGGCCATTCCCAACCTTGGAATGTACTCCTTTCCCTCTGTTGGATGAATATCTATCAGTTCTTTAAAGCCCAACTTAAATGCCACTTTTTTAAGGAAAGCCTTCTTCATCCTTTTGGTAATGGCCATTCTCCTCGGACCTCACATAGTACTTTGTTTTGTACCTAATTCATTTATTATGAAATACTGTATATTATAGATATGTTTTTATATCCTATTGTCTTCTAAACAACATGGAACAATGGAAAGTGCCCTGGATTTGGAATAAGGAGGCCTGGGTTTGAATCCTCACTCTACCTTGTGTAGCTTTGAACAAATATAACTTGTGTTACTGTCTCTAAACCTGTTTCCTCACCTATAAAAAGAGCAGGCTGAACTGGATGACTTCTTTCTCTGGGCCTTTCTAGATCTACATCTATGAGCCAAGGCAATAAGTTCTATGAGAGTGGGGTTGCATCTAAGTTTTAGAGCTCCTTGACTGCCTAACTCCTATCACCTGGGCTGGACTGAAGACTACAGAAACTTCTGGGAACAAAGGGGGTTGATTGTATAGGGAAAGACAAGACTGTAACACAAAAAGAAGTGAGCAATACCTACTGATTGCTTGGCATATACGATGACCTGGTAAAAATAGTTCTTGGTTTCAGATAAGTCCATCCTACAACAAAAAATAATAAGCTCCCTGAACATTCTCCAATTCTCCATGATATCATCAAGGTTTCTGCTTCTCTACATACATAAGCCCCAACACAACAAATTACAATGATCAGATATTTACTTGCATGTGTTTTATTTCCTCCTTTCTCTCGTCTCTTGACAATGGCTAGTTTGGGGCACTGCTGATTTTAAAGCCAGCAAAGAGTTAAATCTTGTTTCATCCCTGCAGGAAAGATTAAAAAGACTATTACATACCTGTGGACAAATAAATCCTGTCCCATACATGATGCTCCTCATAGAAGAAGAAAAAGCATCTTTGGGGATGAGGTTATCTGCAAAGATCATCATGAAGTTGCTGAAGAAGGTTAAATGGAAGACTTGGAAGAAATTCATTGCCAAGAAAAGCAGAAAGTTTTTCTGGGTTAATATCTCTTTGGTCAACAAGATGACTGAGGCCCAGGAGAGTTCTGATTTACTTTCTGAGATATTGGTTTCTCCAGGGGTTCCTTTAAGTTCATAGTGACTCATACTGTAAATACCAGTATAAAAAAGGCAGGCAGTGGCAAGAACAGCAATGACAATGGAAAAAGCCTGGAAATGGAGTAAATTTTCCATGTTATCAGAGATAAGGCCACAGAAAAGTATGCTGCTAGATCCCACTAGTGATGCCACTTGGTTATATTTAACAAGCTGAAGTCTGATCTCATGTTGAGTAGAAATCTCTGCAAACAGGGCACACTGGGCTAGCTGTACAAACGTCAACATGCCATCAAAAGCACATAAGGATACCACAAGCTGAAGCCCGCTAAGCCAGTCGCCTTCTTGGTAGTGTTTCCAAGGGAACCAAGGAAGTAGGAAAGCCAAAGCATAGAAAGGGGCGCCATACAAAATAGCAATTTGACGTCCTGAACAGCAAGATGCCTTGGCGTTATCTTGAATATATCCAAAAAGAGGGTCATTAAGAGCATTCCAGATCATAAAAATTACCTAGAAGAAAAAAAAAGAACATGCAAATTGTTCAATCAATACAGAAATAAGCTAAAAACAGCCCAAAACTTTTTTTTTAATGTAATCAAGTATTTATTTTTAGATTGTGTCCCTGTTAGCACAGCTGGTATCTACCAAAGATGTCCTAGAATGGACAACTGGGTCATTTAAGTATTATCTAGAATACAAGGAGTCTCAGTTGTCTTGTGCATTGATCAGTAAGATAAAAGCTGTTTTCTAGCAATTGTATCTGTAATTTGGGCCAGGCTACTTCTACTGAGCCTCTGGAAACAGTGAGCCATGAAAGGCACTTATAATAGAAAGAATGCTCAACCAAAAGCCATAAGACATGTGCTCCAGTCACATCTCTGACACTAGCTGTGTGGCGTTGGATGAGAAACAGAACATTTTTGTTCCTCAGTTTCCTCATTTGTTATAAGAACAGGCTCAGTCAAATGATCCCAAAGGCTCCTATAACTCTGCATTTCCAACAAATCAAAAAACACTAAAATTTATCAAGTTCTTTTCAGAACCAGCAGGGGGCATGCATGGTAAAACTGTAAGATCCCTTTGAGATCAGTATTGATGTAACTAAGGCATTAACAACATTGTTCTTCTATAACTCCCCCAGGAAAATTAAGATACCAATCTTTACTTTCTGCAAAGGAATCATGATGCTATTATCAGAAATGAATGCCAAACTTTGTGACAGTTTCTGCCATTCTAAAATTTAAGGGTCTTTTCTCACATATTTGTTCCATCTTCTGATAGATGCCCAACAGCTACTAACAGTTTCAACACAAATAGCCCTATAAAAGGAAGTCAATATGTCAACATTTGCTTATTTTGCATATATAGTAACACCTTAATTATCTAGCCTTATCAGAGAATGAACTATATATAAATGATATTCTACTAGGTGTTAAATTTTTCATTTTATCTATCTTTGATGAAAATTCACTGTGTATTTGCCTTCTGCTTAATTAACAGATTTTTTTGGTTTTAACTTCTCATTGGCATAGGAACTTTCAGTGAGGAAACTCAATTATTGCAGAACAGCAACTGCTCTTCAACTTTGCCTAGGACGCTAAGAATTTAAGTGATTTGAGGGTCACAGAGCCAGTATTCTCCAGAGTGAGGGCTTGAATTCAGTTTTAATTCAGAGTCCAGCTCTCTAATCACTATACCAGGCTGCCTCTCAAACAATAAATACTGAACATAATTCAACTTTTTCTTGATTATTAAACATCATTATTGTTAACATATATTATTATGCAGGGTAATACTATAGTTCTATGTAGTCTGGTTTTTTGTTTGTCTATTGTTTTGTTTTTTCCCATCTCCCTCACTGCCTGCCTCCTGAAACAAATCCCTAAACCCAATGCCTTCTAGTTTTTGTTTCTAAAATGCTATATTTAGGGAAGTCACATAATCAAATTTCAAAAAAAAAAAAAAAAAGAAAAAGCTTATACTAAATAAAAGTCAATAAGCCTCTAAAGTCAGGAGTTCTTAACCTCTTTTGTGTCATGAACTCCCTTTGGCATTCTGGTGAAACCCCCTTCTCAGAAGAATGTTTTTAAACATATAAAGTAAAAAACACAAGGTTATAATGGAAAGAATACAATTATAAACATTTTTAGAAATAAGCTTTTGGAACACAGGTTGTGAACCCTTGGTCTTATGCTTATTTTTTTTTTGGAGGGGGGGAAGGCAATTGGGGTTAAGTGACTTGCCCAGGGTCACACAGCTAGTGCGTATCTAACACCAGATTTGAACTCAGGTCCTCCTGACTCCAGGGCCAATGCTCTATCCACTGTGCCACCTAGCTGCCCTAGTCTTACGATCTTAAAGGAATAAAATTTTTAGTTCTAGTACAAAGGCTTTGTAAGAGTTGTTTCTATTGGTGGAGGGCCTTTTTCTTTCTTATTTATGGTTTCATATATTACCAATGGGGTAAAATTGCTAGATGACTTACTTGTAGACAGATGGGTTGTTATCGTTTGTAAACATTTGTGTGTTCATGCCAACCAGTTCCAGCCTCCCTGTTTGATGCATAATGAACATGACTACTCACTTGGCAAATTCATCCTACACAAGTGGGTAATTAGTTTTTAAAAACACTGCATTACACTACCAGTTATGGAATTAACATTTGATAACTTGAAGATTTCACAGATAAAGGATTCCAGACCACTTTCCATAGTGTATACAAACTCCTACAGACTTTCAGGGAATAACTCACAGACATGTCCCATTATTTACTGCACTGCTGTGGAGAAGCAGCTCTGTCCAAAAGCAAAGGACCATGAGGGAACTCTCTTACCTGAGACTGGTGAAAGGCAGCTTCTGAAATCTTGTATTGCTTCAAAAAAAGCTGCATGTAGTAAAAATTAAAGACCGTATTCATCATCCCAGTCCCTAGAGTAGTCATTGAATATGCCAGAGCATTGGCATGAATTCGTACAAGCTTCATTTTCCATGCAGAGGATGACTTCTTCCCTTTGTTATAAACAAAAGTGAAAAGAACGTCATTCTACAAGTTACTAGAACTATCGCAAAGGATATGTGGTTAATAAAGCCATATAATTTTGCATGATTTAGTATAAAACAACATTAAAGAAAAAATTAGTATTGGCATCTTACAGTGGATTAAAACTGACTAGTTAAGCCTTTATTCAAAAAATGTGATGAGTACAGAGAAGCGCAGAAGTGATACAAAGTAAAGTAAGTGGAGCCCACAGAACAATATATAGTGTACGACTACAACAATGTAAACAGAAAGACCCACCAAAAAAATCCAAAGTGAATGTAGCAAAATTATGAAGAATAAGCACAGTTTAAAAGAAGAGACATGAGAAGTCACTCCCACCTATTCTCAGCCCCCTTTACAGAGGTAGGAGGTCCACATACATTGCACATATTTTCAGACTTCTTCAATGTATTGATCAGTAATTGATTTTTCAGCTTCTTTTTATTTGTCTTAAAAAAACACTTGTTATACAAGATGGTTCTCTGGGAGGGGAAAAGATATTGGGGAAAACTATGGTGATATAAAAAATACCAAACACATCAATAAAAACTTACTTTTAAAAAAAGAACCTTTACTTATAGTTTTAACACATCTTAATTTGCACATTGCTTACTCTGGAAGAACATATCTTGAAATTGTTTTTCATATTTATACAATCCAACTAGTATTGGTATGTGTGGTACGTGGTATGTTTGTGGCAATATACAAGCTGACATTTTTTACTGCAAATACTGACAAAGACTATCACCATTTGCTAAGGAAATTTAACTCATGTAAATCAGCCAACAAAGGGAGAAAAATCAAATCAGTCAGCCTTGAAACCATGTTAGTCAATAAACATTTGATCTACCTGCTAAGCAGATAGCTGTGTTAGCCAAGAGTAACACCAGTCTAGAATATAAACTCTTTTGTAAAATTTTATGGATGATGGTGGTAAAGATTATTAGCAGTAATACCTCATAAAGCAGGGATTTGTGGCAAAGGGAAAAAAAAACAATTTTCAAAGAGTTTGGCAAGAGAGTCTCATCCTTAGGGTTCATAAGGATGAAAACTGGAGGACCACAAACACACACTCTACCCCTCCAGGGAAAGATCTGTCAAATTTGCTCTGGCACACATCTTTCTTCATCAATGGTAACAGAGCTAACATATTTGAACTCTAATATCATTTCAAATGTACAACATGATGAACAGAAATGGCATAAAGGAAAATAAAGATGGAAAGAGAAGCTAAAATAAGTCAAGTATACACAGAGGAGTTCAACACTGGAGGGGACAAAATTTTGAAATTGCTATAATGCTGATTCTCAAGACACTCAAAAGAGGAAAGGATACAAAATATTTGGAAAAATCAGGGACTTTATTCCTAAAGGTCATGAGGATATATCATGAGGATGCCAACAACTGTCACCAACAGCTCTACTTTCTTATCTCTACAAAATATTAGAATTATCTATACAGGTATGAATTGCATCCTTGAAATTACTGGGAAGGGAACAGGCAGGCTTTCACAAGTATTATATATTCTTTAGTAGACCACATCTTTACAGTTACACAACAGAATGAAAGGTGCAAAAAATACATGATCTCATTGTGCAGGCAGAGTCAAGATGGTAGAGTGAGAAAAAGCATTTTTGCCTAGATCATCCAGATTCACAATGACTTAGAAAATATGCCGGACCAAATTCTGATTGGGAAAGTCAAGAAAAAGTCACACTGAGTAATTTTTTTAGCCCAGGACAGCTTTGAGAAACACAAAGCGCTGTGAACACTGGCAACGGGGCTGGCCAGGAGAAGGTGAAGTAGTAGTGGAGGGGAAAGCATTCTAGCACACAGGGATGGAAAAAAGGCCCTAAACTAGTGCTAAGTGTAAGGTGCCATCTGGCAGCTTTGTTCCTCATTACCCAGTTACAGGACACAGTTATGCGGAGAAGAGGAGCTAGTGAGTGTGGGCTCTAGCTATATTGAGCAAGGAACAAGTTCCAGAAACAAAGCTGTGTGGCTCTGAGCCCAGTTCTCACCTTTAGTCCAGCACATAAACCTGCAGTGGAATAATCAGGGAAGGGGTCACAGACCAAAGGGAACCAGCTCTCCTAGCGGGCTAACATTGACTGAATCCAGCAGAAGTCTAATGAAACTCAACCATGGACAAGCCAAGAGACCTAAACCTGAGTCGGGAACTTGCAGAGCTCAGACCAGGAGACTCAGATTCCCTGGATCACATACATCAAAGAAAATTAACAGCTTGGTAAAAGAGGTACAAAACTATTGAAGAAAATACTTCTTGAAAATTAGAATTGGCCAAATAAACAGAAATGGATAACTCCATGAAACATCCAGAAGTTATAAAACAAAGTCCAAAAGGCTGGAAAAAAATAGACGAAAATGTGAAATATCTCATAGGAAAAACAACTGACCTGGAAAACAGATCAAAACAAATCATTTAAGAATCATTATACTAGGGGCAGCTAGGTGGTGCAGTAGATAGAGCTCTGGCCTTGGAGTCCGGAGAACCTGAGTTCAAATCCAGTCTCAGACACTTGACACTTACTAGCTGTGTGACCCTGGGCAAGTCACTTAACCCCAATTGCCTCATCAAAAAAGCAAAAAATAAAAATGAAAAAATAAGGAATCATTATACTACCCAAAAGCTGTGAACAACAACAAAAGTCTAGGCAACATATTTCAAAAAATAATGAAAAAGCATTAATTTGGAATTAAAAATAAACTTGAATTTTTAAAACACTGAAGGAAAAAAAAGAACCGGAGGGGAAAATAGAAATTTAAAGAATCCACTGTTAATCTCCAGAAAGAAACTCCAAATGAAAATTCCCAGGAATATAATATTTAAAATCTAGAGCTCTTTGGTTAAGGAAAAAAATTCTGCAAGCAGCCATAAAGAAAGAATTCAAGTACTACAGAGTCACAGTCAGGATCACACAACATTCAGCAGTCACCACTGTAAAGGAACAGAGAGCTTAGAATATGATATTCTAGAAGGCAAAGGATCTAGGTTTACAACCAAGAATAACAATAACTTTGGAAATCATCTATTACTATGACGCAAAGCATAAAATAGGGAAATATATGCTTTATACATATGTATATATGCATATGTGTGTGTGTGTGTGTGTGTGTGTGTGTGTGTGTGTATTTTGCCCCTGTCACAGAGAACATCCAGAACAAAGTCCAAATGCAAGGGGGATTCCCAACAAATGATGAAGTCTTCCAGATTGGCCTTTTTGGGGATGTCATTTTTCTGATTACATTAAGCCCTGGAAAACTGTAGAGCTTCCTGAATGAAATCTATAATCACTCAGAAGAGTGATTATAACTAGCCACATAAGGAAAACCAAGTGGATGAGGAATGCCTGTTATCCAGACTATGATATACAACTGAAAACACAACTAAGAAAATTAGTACATTAGAGTGTGTGTACATCTTAGATTGTCACTAGGTCCCAAAATGAATAGCCGGTTTATTTTGGATATTGTGCAGTGCTTTTAATGACTGTTCCCTGTTACAAAGGACAAAACCTCCTTGTCCTATTTCTGCTCACGCTTAGTCAGACTTCAACTCTACATTACCCTACCAACTGACTCCCCCATTCCTACTGAAAGGTGCGGGAGAAAGTCGCAAGACTATGCTGAACGAATCAACTATAAATCTATGTTATTTAATCCCAATCGGCACCTTTCCAAAACAAGGCAATCTTTTTATTCTTCCCTAGTTTATTATCTCACTCCCAAAAGATGCCGTTCTGAAGCTTCTCTTTTTGAGCCTATTATGTCCCCTGTCCTCCCTGCCTCTCAACAGAAGGCCCTGCCTCATACTTTTTTTTACTAAGGGAAGAGGCCATTTTTGGTGAGCTCTCTATTCTCCTCTATACCTCGAAAACCCTTAACATCATTCCACTTTCTTTCCTTCTTTTACTCCAGCCTCTGATAATGAGGTGACCCTTCTCACCAAATTCAATCTCTGTATGCTCCTAGTTCATCTGCCCCAGTAGCTTGCCCCCAAACCCATCCTCTACTTTTAATTTTCAATCTCTCACCATTGATTAGTTCTTTTCTTGCTACCTATAAACATGGCCAAACTTTCCCTATCCTTAAAAAATCTTCACTTTACTATCCCCTTAAGACATTATTCTACTGCTCATTGATTGAGGAATGGTTAAACAAGTTATGGTACACAAATGGAATGGAATATGATTGTACTGTACAGAGGTGTCGAGCTGCCACTCATAATCTGGTTAAAATGTAATCAAGAAATATTTTTAAAAATATAATAGAACATAGATAATGATAATATGTGGTTTTCTAAGTCAATATGCTCCCCACAAAGATCCTTGTGTATGGTTTAATTTCTATTTCAGTTTGACACCACTGGTGTTGTAAATAATAATGAATATGGAAAAGCTTCCATTAAACAGAGGATTTTATATTTTATCCTGGAGGTGACTGGGAGCCACTGGAGTTGAGTAGAGAGGTGGATCTGAACTTTAGGGAAATCACTTTAGCTGCTGAATGAAACATGGACTGGAGTGGGGAAAGACTAGTGGCAGGCAGAATACCAGCAAGTTATTGCAATAGGCCAGGCATGAAGTGATGAGGGCCTGCACCAAGGTAGTGGCATTGTTACAGGAGAGAAGCAGATGTGTTCAAGAGACATTGCAAAGATGAAATAACAGACCCTGGGAACAGATTAGATATTGGGGGGGAGGGTGACGGATAGTGAGGAGTCCAGCATAACTCCTAGATTGGGAGCCCAAGGGACTAGGAAAGTAATGGTGCCCTTGACAGTAACAGGGAAGTTTGGAAGGGGAGATGGTTTGGTGGAAGGTAATGAGTTCAATGTTGGACATGTTGAGTTTACTATGTCTAACTGATATCAGTTTGAGATGTCTAAAAGTCAGTTAAAGATGCAATACTGAAGGTCAGCAGAGAGGTTAGGGCAGGACAGGCAGAT